ACTGCATGTTGTCTGGCTGGCAGCTGCCCAGCCCAGTCTGGGATGCAGGGCCCCGGGCAGGAGACGGTGGGACACTGTATTCTTTTAGTCAAGCAGGTGTCTTTGAGGATAGAAGTTAAATAAGTTCTATTTTTATACTTTAAGGACATCTTGAGCTCTAAACTGAATGGAAAATTTAACAAACATCTCCAGCCATCTTCCACGGTGCCTGAATGGAGAGCGAAAGATAATGATCTACGATTACTGCTGACAAATGGAAGAATAATTAAGTACGTAAACCAGATCAAAGTATCAGACAGATTCATTTTCAGGGAATTCCTTCTGTTCACTTAATCCCCACTCCATACTGCCGCACAGCTGACTGAAACATGGGGAACATGTCTCAGTGTCTGTCCATTCTGTCTGCAAATTAAGGGGGCAGAGGGCACTGTTTGGCTGCACAGATGCACTGTTTTCTGACGATTATTCCACCCCCGCTCCCCCCCCACATACAGAGATGAAAGACAACCCTTCGCAGATCAAAGTCTTTATACAGCAGATAGCGAAAATGAAGAGGATAAGAGAAGGACAAAAAAGGCACAAATGAAGATGGAAGAGAGTTCAGGAATAGAGGGGGTGGACAATGAAGAATCGCAAAAACCACTTAACAGTATGTTTGTTTTAATGGTCATCTTAAAGGTCTGCTCATTACTAATGTGATAATATGTGACGTAACTTGCTAATTTTGAAGTTCTTATATTTGTAGTAGGATTGAAAATGCTTGCATTTCTAATACTCTTTTGAGAAATCTGAAGTATTTCTGAATCGTTTATCTGTTACAGAAATGCTGAGCGTGAATGCCAGGAGAGGTATTATTAATGATGAGGACGTGTGTGAGTCAGTGACACGCTCATCTAGTGACAGTTTTTACAAGAGTCACATGAAAGCTCATGCATTTTATGGACCGCTACTCCAAATAATAAAACAGTTGCAAATTCAGTGCAATTTCTTATATAATTTTAGCCAACATGTATGTAGGTTTCAGAAGTAGAAGACATATAATTGGCTGACTGATCTGAAGCTATTAATAATCCTTGTATTGTTTTACAATTGCCTATTGACAAGAGAGTCTCTACTTGGTTATTAATTGGTTATCGTCAGTGTGAAAAATAGTAATACCTCCTGGAGATCTTCTTTGAATGAAGTATTAATTTCTCAGCACTTTTTAGGGTCTTCACATACCCTTCTATTTTAAGAAGTAGTTACGTATTTTGGTACTCACCAAGTAAACGTTCCAGGTAGCTAATATTATTAAATCCATGTTGAATACCTTACCTCAGTTCCTGCTAATTTTAGGTGAATTCCGTATTGCTGCAGTTGGTAACTGCATTTGCTCACGTGCCCGGGGAAAGGTGGTTAATGAAATGCATCCAACAGTTGCCGTGTGGTAGCGCCACGTAGAGGAGAAAGGCAGCGAGCGCTGAGGCCCAGTGCCCAGGCCTGTTGTGTTCGTTCTCTACTCGAATGCTCTTTAGGTTTAGGGGAGTTGCCTTTTTGTTTTCTCCGGAGAGAAATAATGCAAAAGGGAGAGTAAAAAACATCTTGTAGCTTATTATACTGTTGGAGGGTTTTTTTCTGGTAAGAAAGATATTAAAATTTCCAGATGAGGAATTGTTTTAGAATGCACTGCAGTCCTTCCTTATCTTGGACAACTGGGGAGAAAATCCGGGCAAAGAAAAATGAAGAAGGCGACACAATGAAAAAGGAGGATAGAGCAAGGGCGACGGAGACACCACGGAGCTGGACAGGTTTTCGATATCACCCTGTTCATAGAATTCTCATGACCTTCTTTCTCTCTGTCCCCTTCTCAGGGTTTTTTACAAGTGTGAAATCAGAACTCAGGAATCGATCATCAGAATATTCTGATATTTCTGATTCAGAAGACTCTGGACCTGATTGCACTGCACTGGTATGCCCCAAAGCCTGCGACTTGTGTCTGTTCGATGTAAAGTTGAACCCTACTTTCCTTCACCTAGGAGATAAGTGAATGACAGCGTTTCCCAAAGCCTGTCTTTCTGACCTTCGTACCACAGGGTCTTTCCCTGTAGTGGTAGTAATTACACGCACGCACGCACGCACGCACGCGTGCACACACACACGCACACACCCATCATGTGACTATTAACATTTGATAACATAGCTTTTGTCTGATTTTATAAAGAGTGAAGGGAGATACTGCTCTTAAGTTTCTCTTATTTCTCATAGGTTATATTTCCTTTTACCGTAAAGAAAACCTGTACCTGTGTATTTTTACTAACGAATTATGTTACTATAGTCACTAGAAATTTTCACGTTTTTATATGAAATACAGAAATAATTCCATGATAATTAAGACTCTTACTTTCCCTAGATGGGCAAAGTGTCTTTTGTTGGTTTGTACAGATTTTATCAGATTTCTTATATAGCTTTGCTTCCATTATTTATTATCTCAGAAAAATAATTTTACCACTGAAGAGTCTGAAAGTTCAGGTGATGAAAAGAAACAAGAAATAACATCAAACTGTAAGGAGGAGTCTAATGTGATGAGGAACTTCCTTCAGAAGGGCCAAAAGCCATCTAGAAGTGAAATTTCAATTAAAAGGTAGGCTTGCTGATGGTAATAGTAGTCTCATAACATTGTGACGTAAAGGATATGAAAACATTTTTTTAGTTTTAAATTTTATCAAAAATGTCATTGGAATAAATAGGGTCTTGTCTCTTTGGCTCTCTGCTCCATAGGGAATGTCCTACCTCGACGAGCACAGAGGAAGAAGCTATTCAGGGCATGCTGTCTATGGCAGGGTTGCACTATTCCACGTGTTTACAAAGGCAGGTTCAAAGCACAGACTGCAGCGGTGAACGAAACTCTCTCCAGGACCCCAGCAGCTGCCACAGCAGTAACCACGAGGTTAGGCAGCTGTATCGCTATGAGAAACCAGTGGAATGTGGTAAGAAACATAACTGATCAGTCTCTAGAAAGTAACCCATGACTCCCACTTTAATTAATAGCTATATAATCCTAGTTAAAGTTAGAGATTATGAATAAGAACTGTTCATTGTGCATTTTTACTTGGAAATGCTACTAAGCACATTGGCCAAAAAATACATGACGTTGGCAAATTATGTAAGATGACACAGTCTAAGAACTCAAAATGTAAATTACCTGGGATTGAGAGTGATGTTCACCAGCTTAATTTTATCATTGCTGTTGAAAGATAGTATTATTTCTCTTTAGTAAGTTGATCAGAGTGGAAGGAATATTGGGTCCTTTAAATAATCTGCTGACTTGAACAATGAGCCTGTTTTCCTTTTATGGGAGGGAAAGCAGGTTTTGAACTGTTCCTGGCTGAGCATATTCTCTTTCCAGCTTGAAAAGGAAGTGTTAGGAAAGAGAGGACACTCAGTGGCATCCTCAGTGCTACCACATAGCATTTTCTTCTCTGTGCCTTTAGGGAAAAGTTTCGTTTCCCTAAATGTCTGAGGAGGACTGGGGAGAAAATGATATTATTTTAAAACCAAGTGCATATTATACCAATTGCATTCATTCTCACGTAGTTAAATGTCAACTCTGTACTAAGAGTTTGACATCCATTTCACTTAATTCTTGAAACAACATTTTTGACTTTACAAGTAAAGGAAATAGGACTTAGTGAAGTAAATTTAATTTACCCATACTAACATAGCTTAGTGTTCAGTAGTGTTGGAATTTGAACCCAGGACCATCTGATCTCAAAATCTTCACTTATTGTATAAGAGGAAACTGAGGTTTAGAGAGGTTAAATAACTTGCCTAAAAATGCATTGGTAATGGAAGAACTCAAATTCAAATCTAAATTTGTCTGTTTTTCTACTATATCATTCTGTCTTCCGATAGTCTGTTTGGTTTCTTGAAAAGAAAGATTTTGTGGAAATACTACAAAATTCAGGCAAACATATGCCTTTATTCTATATGGAAAAATATATCTTTTTTAGAGAGCGTATATTGCATTTGATTTCACATCTACAACAGATGGCCATAGAATTTTACTCTAGATCTTCAGCATCTGGCACAAAACCTGTCATATAAAGACAGCCTTTGAGAGAATTGAAAGAATTAAAATGTAAGATGGTGAGCTGATGACTGTTTTGTTTTTGAGAGGGAAGGGAAAGTGGTGAACGTATATGAATAAATATTTAAAGAGTTAACATACTCATTTTTAATAAAATGCCAACACAAATTTCCTTTCAATTTTAAGCATTTGGCTAACTTTGTTCTTTTGTGTGAAGGAAATTTAATTAATACTTCTCTTTAGGATACCATGTCAAGACTGAAGATCAGGACTTGAGGAGTTCTTCCTGGATTAAACAATTGGATTCAACTTCCAGATTTAATCTTCAGGTATATTCAAGGTTTGAAACATTAAAAAGAGTTATAGAATTGTCGTTAACTATGTTTTTGCTTTTTTTTTTTTTAACTGCAACTAGTTATCAACCACTGGATCTGCGGAGGTAAAAAATTACAATTAAATGCACATTTTTAGAGATTCTGATATAACCAATGCAAAAGTCTTGGATAGCACGCGATCTGGAAAAAATTGTTTATTCAGGGAAGTAGTTAAAAACTACCGGATGCCAGTACTAGATTATGTCTGGTTAAAAGGAAACATGAAAGAAAAGTATCAGAGGGTCTCTTTTTAATCTCCAACGGTGTTTCTTGAACATTTTAAGTATCGAATTTCTTTGGGAATTTGATAGAAGTTACAGATTCTCTTTCCAGAAAAAAGTTCATCATAAATACTGACTTTTGCTTAAATTTTTTTCATGATTTATGCTCCACCCTCCCCCCCGCCCCTGACCACCCATTGACTCTAAAGTAGGAACCCCTCCTCTAAAAGAAGACACTTTTTGTCTTGGGGTCCCAGCATGTTAATGCTTATACCAAACAAAATGCACCCAAAATAGGTTTTTTAAAAAATAAAATTATTACAATAGCAAGGAAAGCGAATACAACCTTTTGCTGCAAACTTCGGAAAATGACAGCCAATGAAAGAACCAAAATTCTCATGTGGCAGAGTGAGGCTCCTAACCTCCTAGACCCCAAGCATACTGGGAATGGTTGGGAGAGTTTCATTTTCTTCGTTTTGCTTATTTTCTAAATACTTACCAATTTTACAGTAAGAAAAAGAGCCAAATTTTTTAAGGCAGTTTCACGTGTACAAATTCTTTTAATAGAAGTATATGCTCTAGAGTCAAAGGTCAAGTAAAAAAATCCTATCACTGTTATAATTCACTTATTCAGTGTATAATTTTTTAGTGCCTCTCTGTACCTAGTCATGAATTTTGTGACATAAGATTCAGTGTTCAAAGTAAGCTATTACCTAAATCTAGCTGTCGTTTTTGTAGTTGTCTTTGAAAGCAAATAAAGTAGATAGGCGATTAGCACCTTAGAGACAACCAAATTTCTCTTGCGTATAATCTAGAGAGAGATTATAGCGAGGCATGTCAAATCATAACAGTCGTTTCTTCATGTTCACCCGTATTTGTAAGATTAATTTAAAGCAAGTCTGCGTTTAATGCTGTTTTTAAAACTTATTCGACCATTATAGAATCAGAGATATATAGAAAGTAAGGTTTAAAGAAAAGAATCAAAGGGCTATTTTACATCACACACATACAGACACACACAAAACCAAAACTAGTTTGATGAAACAGCACATCCGAAGTATGTTCTTTTCACGTTTGTCTTTTCCTTTCTAGTTTCATTTCCGGTCATCACCTCTCCATTGATTTCAGGACATTCAGGACATTCAGTAGATTGTTTCTTTGTTTCCTGCCGTTCACTCAACAGTCTTAAGAGACTGAAGGAAGAATTGTTAGAGTAAAACCAGACTTCGGGCTCAGGATTTAGGGATTTTTTTAGCAAACAACATAAGTTAGCTTCTAAAAAAGACAGTACGTTACCCAGTGAGAGCGCTGTGGGAGCTGACATCCGGAGGAAACAGTAGGGCCACGTCTCCCGTCTTGGGTTCCTTTCACGGCACGTGCTCCCTGCGTGCAGGATGGCTTGCTGAAATTATGTTCATATTCTCTCTCTCTGTCTCTTCTCCCTCTCCCCGCCAGATATAATACTTTCTTCTTGACTTAAGTTATGATGTAACTTTAATACTCGAATCCTTCAGAGCTATTAGGCTTTGGAATGAGACAGCCATCATGAAGGGTGGTCTTCTGTGGCTGCTACATGTTAAGAAAACCAAAGTTCAGTGGTCTCTTTCTTCTCTCCCTTGACTCGCCAATGCAAGAAAGGTTAAATACCTCACTTATCTTAAAGGAACCCTAAAAATTCAGTCTTATTTTCGTCTTTCTTCTTTAGGATCTAAGCAGAAGCCAGAAATGCATCAAAAAGGAAGGTTCATCAGAAACCAGTCAGAAGATACAAAATAGAAATTCTGTGGACAGCAGTGGCTCAAGCCCTCAGAACGGAAAGTATATGCAGAATTCGAGCCTGGTTTCGGGGGCATGCCGGATAAGTAATGGCAGTGTGAGCCCAGAAAGGCCAGTTGGTGAAACTTCCTTTTCAGTGCCCCTTCACCCCACCAAGAGACCTGCGTCAAATCCACCACCTATCAGCAACCAGGCAACGAAAGGTAAGTTTTACATGTTTGTAGGTTACATTTATTCCTGACCACATATGACGGTGAGAGCGGCCCTTCACAAGGACATAGTCTCTGCACTCAGCTTGCTCACAGCCTGATGCACTGTGGACGGTACAGTGACAGCAGTGTGCCCAGATACTCTGGGAACAGGAGAGGATACTGAGTCACCCCTGAGGATCGAGAGGGCCTTTGGGAGGAGGAATGTCAATCCTGAGAAGAATGATAAGGAATTAGCCGTGCGAATTGGGGGAAGCGACAGGATAGACAGCATTGAAGGAAAGAGATAGTGTGTATGACCCACCGTACAAAGGTGAGAAACAGTATGTGAGGTGTTTATGAAACTGTCGTCAGTTTCGTTACTGAAGCAGTTTCCTGTGGAATATGGTAAGATCGCACGTTGAGGAGATAGGCGGAGATTAGACTGGGCGAGGGCCACGTAAGTCCTGTGAAGGAGGTGAGCCTTTGTCCGTCACTTTAAACAGTGGAATCCTTGGAGTGTGCCTTTGCCCAAGCTTTCAGAACACCTGAAAGCTTGCTTGCCACGCAGCCCTCCCGCGGTTCTTCCGGATCCTGGGTGCCAAGCATGATTTCCATCATCATTTACACTGTTGTTGGTGTTTTATAGGTAAACGTCCAAAAAAAGGAATGGCAACAGCCAAACAACGTCTTGGGAAGATCCTTAAGTTGAACAGAAATGGCCATGCACGTTTTTTTGTGTGACGGAGCTGCCATTGGGGCCACTCTTCCCTTTGGAGACCAGTCTCGGGGGTGCGGGAGCCTGGAGCTCCCGCCGTGCGTGTGCAGTAGAGAACACTGCCTGAAGAACAAAATGAACCTGATGCTGCATTTTCACTGTGCCACACCCACTCAGCAATAACCATTTTGGACCTGGTGGGGGAGAGGAAGAAGGAGGGTAGAACCTTAAAAGGAGACCTTGAACTGGAAAGGGTCTCTCGTCAGGGCTTGAATATCATTTTGTTGTTGGTAGTGTCTTGATTTATTTTCAGTGGTAGGGTAAAGAATTATCAATAATTTATTTAACAGATTTTTTTTTTAAAGTTAACAGCTTTTAAATTCTTTTTTAAAGCTATTTATTTGGAAGATTTCTGGAGAAATATCTCACTAATTTAGATTTAAGAATGTGAAGGTTTTTAAATTATTTTTGATAGTGCGTGTGTTACATGTGGGGAAGAGCCACAGTAACAGTAACTAGTCTGGACTCTTAAATTTGATATTCAGGTTAAAGTCTTAAACAGGGATTTGATGCATTAATTATTTTAAATTAAGATGTATATGAAAATCATTTTATTTTATATATTTCGTGTTTTTTATAAGCTATTAGCTTCGCTTTTGCTAACATCCAAGGTGCGTACTGTTATCCAGGTTGATGACCTTACACCCCGCCGCCCCCTCTGCGCCCCCGACAGTTGTGACGACACAACAGACTTCTCTTTGCAGGGAACACTTTCATAGCCAACGCGTAAGAACTGCGTCAAAGACCCCTCGTTTCTCATTTCATTTGACATTGCGATTTTCTCCTAAATATAAAAAAAGGCTTCTTGCATTTTCATTTTCTGCTGGTGATATCTGGGTCCCAAAGAGAACAGCTTTAAATCTTCTTCCTACTTGTGGGAAAAGTATTATAAGTTTGGTTAAGTTGTCATATTTGTAGTTTTTCAAATACATTTGTAACTACAGAGGGCCTTCTTCAGACTGCTGGTATTGGAGCGCAGGGCCGACACCTGCCACAGAGGTTATATTTTACACTTTTTATTCTGTGTACCTAATTCGTTGGAAAATATGATTTGACTTAGTCTATTCAAATCTACACAATAAGCCGTAATATAATAGGACTATACTACATTAATTATATAGATGCAAGCATGTTGGAGTAGATCTTTTGAGGTGTGTGTGTGTTTAGTTTTTTTATTTCTTAACCTTCTAAAGAATTATTTAAGATATGGATTTGGAGTAAAATCGGTGCTTCTTGCAGTTTCTTCCATCTGTCCTAACTTAGCCAGCGCATATTGAGGTTAAGTATCTGGTAGAGCTTTAAGGTAAATAATCATTTATCTCCTTTATGCACAATTTTTTTTTTTTGATAGCTAAAACATAATTTATTTTTTTTAATGCACAATTTTTACTAAATGCCAGTTGCTAATCATAGCTAATGTTTTACTCCCCTCCCCATGGCATAAAAATAAGTGATTTCTGGGGTGGGGGAGGTGGTGAAGATGTTTCCAATTTTGACAATAGAGCATTTTACAAGTTCCTATAAAGAAAATATAGGCAAATAAGATCAAATTTATTTTCGTGAAGAAATATGGCCATATGATAGACATCCTTTTTTTAGTCAGCAAGGTAGCAGGACTTTCTCTTCTGTATTAAGTATCACATGTAGCTCTAAGAAAAAAAAATCTCCACTATCATCGTTCATGGTTCAAATATGTATTTTCAAAGAGAGATATTTCTTACTCTGTCTTCATTCCAGTGTTTCATGGAGTAAATATGAAACAGCTTATGAATTAGCCTTTTTGGTCCAAGTGGCTGGACCAAAATCTGGATCTTATCTGGGTGTCAAGAAGAATTTTTACAGAAATACTAAATGTCTATAAGTGGCCTACTTAAACTGTGTCTACATTATGCCAAAACTAAAGAGATGGATACAGTCAGTCATTTGATTAGTCATTGAATCTCACAAAAAGTTAAAAATTTGGCTCTGATTCTCCCACCTTCCCCACACAGTATGTTACTGTGATGTTTTGGTTTTCTATAGATACCATTTTAGATTTAACAGTGCGCATGTTTTTGTTTTGGTTTAAGAAATAACAGTTACAATTTCTTCTTTCAATTATATCATGGTCTGGCTTTTTCGTTGTTTTCTTCACGTTCTTCACAGCTCTAAGTGTTTCTGATTACCTGACTTTTTTTTCTTTAGCTATAAACATTAAAATAAAAGTTTATTTTTATGAATTAAAATTATGGCCAGTATCCACCCTGTGTGTACTTAGGCCAGTAAATAGTAATTTTAAGTAGCCAGTATGTGGAACTCTTAAGTAAAGGTACTGTGGATTCATTTTTGGCAGTTTTAGCCCATTAACTAGCTAAGTTTAAAACTTTCAGTAAGGTAATAAATATAACCACTAAAACAGAATACATGTATCTTCTTTTCTGAATTGATAGAAATTTAGTCACTGATCCAATGACTTTGCTAGTTTTCTAAAGTTACTGGCTGTGATGCATACGTTTATCTCATGGAAATGACTGAACCTTGAGGAAACTTCAGCTAGTATCTGGGCTCAACTGTAATAGACAACCTTTTATCTTCTCAGTCTCATTTATAAACAATACTACTGTATAGATACTGCAACTTAGGAAGACAGCAATGGTGGCATTTAGCTAGTTATAAGCAAGTACCAATATATAAAACAATTATGATTTAATGTATGCAATTTTAATTGTAGCAGTAGATAATTTTCCTGTATTGATTCAAATAAGTGACTTCTGCTAATCTGGGATCCACTGTGCTGTAATTCATTATGTCACATAATATAATGCTCTCAAGTATTGATTAATGATGTGAACAGTACAGAGCTGGCATTTATAATAGTTTAGTATCCTAGAAATACATTGAATTTCATAAGCATCAATTAATTTTTAAAGCATACAGAAGTGAAAATTCTGAATGAAATTATCTTATAAACTCAGAAAACAAGCCCGTCTTTATCACTACTTAAATACTTAGCTTGAATACTGTTCTATTTTTTAACAATCCTAATTATTGCCTTTTTAATGAACTCTACTGTATTTATTCATATGGGATCAGCAGGTATTTATCAAACACCTACTATGTGCCAGGCACTACTTAGTACTCTGGGGAAATGCAAAGTCAAAGTGTGGTCTCTGCCTTTGAAGGTATGTTCTCCAGGAAATAAGCAGTATTATTTTCACATCTAAGCAAACTTAAGCAAAAGAGCGACCATTCACTTTTAAAAAGCATAATGTATTAGTTTCAACTGAGATATACTATGCTATTGTAGAAGCGAAGGTAAAAATTCTTTAAATTAAAATTTTGTTGAACATTTTAAAAGTTAATATTTTAATGTTGGTAATAGAGGGTCATGGTTTAGCATGGAAGGGAGCAGAAGACCTGACTTTTTGTCCAAGTTCTGCCATTTATATGTCAGCTATGTGACATTGAATAAGTCACTTATTCTTTCTGAGTCTTAGTTTTCTCATTTGTAAGTTTGGATAAAAATGCAGGCAGTTAAGAAAAACATAGAAAAGCATTCCTTAATCTATTAACACTTTGTACTTGCAGATAATTTATCATTATTTAAGTTACAATGATAATGAATGTACATTCATATGCATTTAAATGAAAACTCCTATTACTCATAAAATTTATTCCATGTCAAATATATGCTTAGAGCATGTTACCTAAAAAATCTGAAGACTCTTAAAAGGTGCTGAATTAAAATCAGAATTAGTGCTTGAAGTAAAAGGAAAAGTGAAGTAGTTTATGTTTATCTTCCAGTGAATAATGTTTATTTTCAAATCATTAAGATTTAAAGTAATTGGAAGATAGTTTTAGGTTTTTCTCAAAGAGGAATTAGGATGGTACTGCTCCTCAGAGTCTGCTAACTCTTCAGGCACTAGATAAAGGTAAAATAAGTCACGGTATCAAAACGATTTGGCAACAACCATGGAACGGGGGCGTAAAATATGGTGGTTCCAAATATGGAAGTCATCAGAGACGGCTCAGGGCTGTCTGACAACAGCTTGTTGGGTAGAGAGAGAAACCACTGGTGGTGCAGGAGAGAAGACACAGCGGAACATCTTCAAGATGAAGGTTCTTCCTGCTTTTTTCAAGAGATGCTCTCTAGAGTGACAAGAGCTCCCCCGAAGAGTTCATGATTTCACATTGAGATGAGGGCTCAATAACGGCAATCTGATGATTTTTTAAAAGTTCGTTTTTCTAATTAAACATTAAGTTAATTGCTCCCTCCAAAAAGAGAAGCTAAAATCACCAGTCATTTTTGAATGCCCTAGACCTTCACCTAAGGCAGTCTTGAGAAGGTCGAGTGTCAGCCATTTTAGCTTAGGAAAAAAGTGTCACTATTAACTAAAGGAGACAAATGAAACCCAGATAAGGCAGTGATTCACCTGGGGTCACAGTGGATCCTAGACCTCTGGTACCTTGCTTCCCCTCTACCACAGACCCTCCTCTGTGACTGCAGCCTCTGCTGGTGGTGTTGATACGCTTACTAGAAGCCAGGTGGAAAGAAAGGGGAGGAGGTAATATGCTCACTACATTGCTGTTGGACTAAAGTAATTTTAGTACTGTAGCCTTACTAAAAACCCTGCCCTTATTGTCATTTGTTTTTCAGTGAACATCATGCCATAGTCAAATATCCCTCACGTGAACAGATTTTTTAAATTAAGATCATTAAGAAGCAAATGCCCATTTCCAAAGCAATTAGCTTATTGTGATAGACTGGTTTTATTCTTCTATAGTATTTTTTTCCTCTTTAGTAGGTAGGGGAAAATAACACTTATTTACCTGCATTCTTTCCTTTAGAGTCTTCCTTTCACCCTTGGTGCCCTCTCTAGTGTCCTAAAGCTTTGTCTCAAGTGCAGCATTAAATTTTTTGTTAAAGCTCAATTCAGTGATTCTTCCAACAAGTTTATCTGCTCTGCACTATTTCACTAATAAACCCTGGCTACCACGTAGCCCTTGACCTCCAAGTAGTTTACCTATGCAAGACCTGTGACATTCTGAATTCACTTTTCCTTATTTCAGAAAGCAGTCCTCAGTGGAACTTAATCATAAAAATAAACCTTGTCTCCATCCAGTTTTATTTTGGCTATTTCCTTTTCAAAGTGTCAGCTATTCCCCCCCAAGACTTTTCACCAAAACAGTGATCATAAGTGCTGGAATATATAATATTTTGCAGGAATAAAATAACCCAGACATGCTCTTCTATTTCTGTGGTAGATTTTGGTTGGTAACAGTTACCAGCATTAAGTGGAATATAGAATGAGTTAATTTCTTGCCTGGAATCATTTCTTCCCTCAAAGATTCATAAGTAACCATTTTATTTTTACAAAGCATACATATAACTTCCACATGATAGTCAGGGACCTGAGGTGTAACTTGCTAAGTGAACCCCAAGGTTATTTTATCTTGCAAAAGAAACCTAAACCAAACTAAGGGCCTTACATTTATGGTTAGACTGAATCAAAAGCTATAACCTCAGTTTTTTCCAAAACAGCTTCTGACTGCAAAAGCAAGTCATGCAGTTGTTAGGTATGAAATAGCACTGATCAGGAAATGCACGCGCAGCTTTGCAGGGTGTATTTCCTTCCGTAAAAACTTTTTTACTTTTAATATAAATTAAGCCATAACAGTTTCATGCTGTGGAAAGAGGGTGAAAGGTTCATTTGAAGAGATTATATAATATGAATTTTCACACTTACTGTGAAACGTCTAACTTTGCCAGTGCTTCAGCAGGCTTTTTGGGGATGGAAGGGTGGAGGGAGGTGGTAGGGAGGGGTAGTATTGATTTTAGGGGTTTCAAATCTGTGAAATTTGAAAAGGGGATGGTTGTTGGCTATGGTATTTACTAGTTTTGTAGTAATGTTTTGCTAGCCTGACTGACTTTCCTTAACTGATTTTTATGCCCATGGTCCAAGGTGACTGTCACTCTTTCTTGTTTGGGGTGTCTGCAGAGTAGTGTCTTGTCTGTTTGTATAGGCAGTCAGTGTGTGTGCACATGTGTGTCCTTTGAAGACAGAAGCACACTGTGTGACTACGGAGTGGGGTGTGGCTGGGAAGTGGGACGCTGAAGCTTTAAGAGCGTTTTTTTCGATTCATGACAGTATTTCCCATCTTTTGCCTGCAGGCAGGGAAAGTGTACAGTATTTATTTTGTTTCTGTTTTAAATTTGTAAGTCTTTAAATAGCTTATATTGGTTATTAGAGGGGAAGACAAGTGACTTGTTTAAAGTTGTATTTGGTATTTCCAATTTCTGTATTTTGAATATTGAAATTAAAATTGTATTACTTCTGTTTTGATTTTTTTTTAGCGCTTGGTGTATTTTTGGCTCATTTTGTTTGAAAGTATAAATGTTGGAAGTTGTATAAAAATGTGTCTTTGAAAGAAAAAAATTTGAATTCTATATCCAATTCTGACTTTCTGTTCCCTTTTTCTGCTTATTGAATCGTGGGTGAATTATTTGAGTGTGGGAAAAACTGTATCAAACTTAGGCTCCTTACTGTGAAAAGTAATGTGTCATATTGTTTTATTAGATATGCTGCTGGGGGAAGCAGTTGCCAAAAGAGAGGAAAGAACATCAAAGGGTAATTTGCAAGGTGAGGCTATGCTGCGGCCATGGATGTGGGTGCTACTGAGGGACGGTTAAGAGCATTTGTTGTTCCCAGCTTGGGCTCCACACAAATACTCACTGAGCCACCTGCATGATACCAGGCGCTGTTCTAGCGCTGGAGCTACAGGAGTGAACAGGACACAGCCCCAGTCCTGCATGAGCATATCTATGGTAGACGTGAAAGGCCAGGGAGGAGGAGACACGCTGTGACCTGGCTGCCTAGGGGAGTGGGAGCGGGAGTGCAGGTGCCAGTGCAAATGCCAGTTTAGTGAGAAAAATGAGTTCTGTTTTGGACATAGCGCTTTCAAGGGGTCCGTGACCAGGTCTGGGATGAGCTGAGTGTGGTGAGACCTTGCCTTGGGCAGGTGATTGAGGAGCCAGGGAGGAAGGAGCACTGGGAGCAGCACTTCCGGTCAGGAGAGGAGCCTGGGAGGGGGCAGGAAGTGGGCAGAATATCCGCTGTGGAGGAAGAGCCCAAGTACAGATTCATGGAAACCAAGGTGGCAGGAGGACCAGGGCTCTTCCTGTACTAACACCTGCTAGAGCAGGTGGGCCAGGGTGCCAGGGTGCCAGAATGCACGCACTTAAAAGCACCTCAACACCTGTTACCCAAAGCACATTCACACCTCCTCTTTCTTACTGGCCTGCGTTCTTCCAGCCGATTGGAACTAAATCCGAATCCGTTTGTAAAAATTCACATACTGTCTGTGAACCTGTGGGATGTTTAGCCTTTGTTAGGGATTATCAGTACCTACGCTCCTTAGACTTTTAACCGGATGTCTGTCTCCACCAAGCAGTGAGACAGATCATCACTGTGGAATGTGGGGTGTCACCCGCCCCTCAATTTAGAGTGGGAAGAATCAGGTGCTCTGCTGCAGACAGACTTTGGAACAGAAGCCCTCATTATCTTAATTTTATTCCATTTGAGTACTTACTGTGTACAAGGCGTATTTTCATTTCTTCCTCACAATCGCCCAACAAGGTAAGTGGGGCACTCCCCATCCTGCAGATGAAACCGAGGCCAGTGACTGTAAATAACGTCGAGGTTCACACTGCTAATAAGTAGAACTGAGATTTTAAGTGAAAGCCTAACTCTAAAGGCCATGTTATTTCTTCTGAATTGTTTTTCTCTTATTTTTTATTGTTAGATACTTTCAATTATTTAAAAGGAATAGATAGGGTCTTTAGAAATGCTTCATAGTCTAAAAATATTTTGGTAGGCATCCATTTCGGGTTGAAAATATATTTTCTTCTGGAAGTTTTCTGTCACTCAATTAAACTTTGAGTCTGTCCTTTCCCAGGGGCTGGGCACACATGAAAGAATGCAGTTTATTTTCTAGGATTCCACCTTCTAGTGAAGGACAGGCTGTAAACAAGGGACATGTACTGTTACAGTACATGAACCTAACATGAATGCCCTAAGTCGCAGAGCTACAGTGTAAGCGGAGGCCACGCCTACTGAACCCCTTCTCCGAGACAAGGCCCCCATGAGACAGCACGGCTGCCTCTCTTGCTGTTCTGGCTCCGCCTTCCCACACTGAAGCCTCTTCTGCCATCATTTTCAGCCCCTCATCATTTTCAGATGGATCAGCCCAGATAAGGAAGGAGAAAGAACAGGCGTGCTTCTCTCTCTCTTCTAATGGGATTCAGTGGGGAGGGGGTGGAAGGATTGGATAAAAGAAAAGCGGAACAATGAGAAAAGAACCCTACACAGTTTTAGAATTCCACTTCTGTCAACTGTTAAGGTCTACAGAAGCTCATCAATATGATGTTACAAAACATATGTGTTTCAAGTGTCTTCAAGAAATAGAAGGCAGAATGGGTTTTTCTTTAATGAGATAAACTGTGATTACATAGCTCACTTAGAACCTAAAACCTAAAATTTTATTGTAATTGCTTTGTAAACTCTAGTGTACTTGCTTTGAAAGCCATAGTAATTTTAGTGTGTAAAACTACAAAACAATTAGGCGGTACCTAATTATGAAAGGATTTTTCCTACCTAGAGGGGAAAAAAAAAAGTGCTTCCTGAAAGAGCTACTTGATTCCACAGAGCAGTATTTTCAGAGCTTTGAAGCGGGACCCTTCATGGGCTGTTGCTCCGCTTTAGTTCCCAGGCGGTATGATTTCAGGGAAGGAATTGCTCAGGGCTTCAGCAGGGCTCACCCGGAAGACAAACCACGCAGCTGGCCTGGGTGTATGCTGAGCACAGCAGAGTCTTTGGCTGTAAAGGGGAAGAGGAACCTGGCCAGTGGCAGGGAAAGCAGGACATGAGTTCCATGGTTGGTTTCTAAAGTCCAGATCAATGTGTCCTGCTGCCTGGGGCCACCTGGTGGAATACCTTACACTTCTATTATCAGATTCCAAACCCCCACGTCCTGTCCCAAATGTGTTTTCTTGGTGAATGACCTCAGCAATCTTCAGTTGTCTCAACTAGGTTCCTGGGTGCTGTTCTCAAATCCTCCCTTTCCCCACCCCAAACGAGTCACAAAGGCCTGTCCATTCGTTTTATCACGGCTTTAGTCACCTTGATTGCCACCAACAACCCGTTGGCCTGCCATCTTTGGCATCTGGCTTCCACCTCATGTGCCTTTAGTCACCTTCTCTTGATTGCCACCAACAACCACAGCCTCTCGTTAGGAGCTCTTAGGATCAAGACCCAAATCCTTAACATGGTACATCAGTTGGAGGTAGAGTCAGCTTCAAGGGAGAGCAAACCCAAAACCCTAATGGTTTAAACAAGATAGAAGGCTGGAGACAGGCCTTCCAGGACTGGTGACTACTTCACAAAGTTGTTAGGGGTCCAGATCCATTCCGTCCTGTCGGCCTGCCATCTTTGGCATCTGGCTTCCACCTCATGATCCAAGATGGCTGCTTGGATTGTCCAGCCAGAGAGGGGAAGAATCACTTTTTTCTATCATATCTGGACACTGGAGGCCACAGAGCTGAGCCACCTAACATCTGGACAAGTTACTTAATCCCTCTCAACTGAGTCTCAGTATTTTCAGCTCTAAAGGTGTAATAGTAGCTTCTACGTCACACATTTGTTATGAAAAATACATGAGATAATCCATGTGAAGCATTTAGCATTGTGCTTGGCACATCCGTGCTTAGTAAATGTAGTAGTTATTATTCTCTCGTTTTCCTCAAGTCCGTTGACTTCTTAATTACATCAGAATAACCCTGAGGACAGGGACCAAGGGTACCATTGTTTTCGACCTTCCTCATGTTTGCACAGTGCTGAGCACATAGTGTGCACTGCCCGAGGATACGCTACTTTAAATGTTTACCACTGCAGTATCGGTCTCCTTCCCTCGGTGCCTCACTTGGCTGTGGTTGACCTGGAATAAAGGCAACTGCCTTGCATCTGCTACTGAATCACTCCTTGGCAGCTGCTTCCTGTTGCTTTTGTGGGTCACTAAATACTTTTCATTCTGATTCTACTTTGATCTCTAGGACACCACAGTGCTCTATAAATGGTTCTGCCAGCCCATGTAGGCCTCAGCAGAGGGAGGAGCAAGATGGGAAGGGCCCTGCTGCCCTGAATAGCCCTTCCCTTAGCTTCTCACAGGTAGAGCTAAGCATACTGATAGGAGTTAGGAAAGGCTTCGGATAGTTGAATTCAGAGGACACTTGAAATTCGTCCATTAAATATGATTACCCCTCACAGCCCAAGGGAAAATGAACCATTTTCAGAAACACCCCATTCCCTGCCTTCGCTTTTATTTCAAAACCCTCTTTTCCCACTTATTCCCTCTTCAGTCTGTTATTTGCTGGGGTCCCCTAGAAGATGCTCATGGTACCCTCGACCTGCATAATTGGGAAGAGCTTAATAAAAGGACTTAATAAATGAGTGTGCAGGGGCTAGGGAAAAACACAAAGCATGGTGAGTCATCCTGGGGCTGGCAACAAAGAGGAGGAGCCACTCCCGCCCCTGCGGTATCAGGGAAGGGAGAAGTCACTAGAGTGCAGAGGCAGTCGTGTGATCGTCCCACAGGAGCTGCGGCCTCTGGCACAAGGATATAACTAGCCACCCAGGGGGAAAAGCCAGGCGGGTGAGTACTCTGGCTTTTCTCTTGATCACCTGCCAGGGCCTCTCTCTGGTGGGTCCTGCTGGGAGCTGGACATCCAGGAAGCCCCTTTGATCCTGTCCAGCCTCCAGGAGCACAGAGCAGGGTGCAGGAGAGTGGAAAGTGGCCCTGGAGGAACGAATGGAAATGATCCAACGCAAATCCTCTACTCTTGGAAATTTCTACACCTACCTCTTAGGAAAAACAACCCCTTCCACAGAGAAGGACTGATTTCACTCCAGAATACAGGCTTCAATAATCTGCAGTAACCACCAGCAGTGATTCTCTGAAAGTCTGAGTTAAGAATAACAGTCAAGAATAAATATGTTAGTCAATTATAATATTACCGCACCCCTCCACCCCCCGCCCCGGCCCCAGCCAGCATGAAGGTGACCTTGGGCAGTCTGTGGGATTGCAGAGGACTTCGATGACACTCCAAAGACTGATCCCTTCTGAGGTTTTGTTTATTTGTTTTGCCAATGGGAGGTGCCTATTCTCTTCCATTTAGGGGCTAACTACTTGTTTTAGTTTGCTTGGGAGGCTGCAACAAAGTGCCACAGACTGGGAGGTTTATCAGATTTATTTGCTCATCTTTTTCGAGGCTAAAAGTTGGGGGCTAAGGTGTTACCAGGGTTGATTCTGTCCGAGGGCCATAGAGGAGGGATCCATTCCAGGCTTCTCTCTTTGACTTGTAGATGACCATCTTCTCCCCGTGCCTCGTCATACCATCTTCCCTCAATACCTGCCTGTGTCCACATTTCCCCTTATTATAAAGACACTAGTCATACTGTATTCAGGACCACCATCGTGACCTCATTTTATCTCTTGAAAGACCCTCTCTCCAAATACGGTTACATAGTGAGGTACTGGGGGTTAGGACTTCAACATATGAACTTTGAGTGGGATACAATTCAACCCACAGCACTACTGGATCAAGTTATACACATATAAACAATAACGATCAGAGAGTAAAGTTTATAAATCCATGTTTTAAAAAAGAAGAAACATTTTTCTTACCACATTATCTGCTTAGATTCTCCTGACCTCAGTAATGGTGACCAGTGCATAAGAAGTATTCTTACCGAGTCATTGGCCTGCTCATGGCCCTTGAAATGATCCCTTTACCTTAGGCCAGATGAAGTTTGGAGACAGGGCTTCTAGCCCTACCCGTGTCTAAAGCAAACCCCCAGGCATGAATAGAACGCCATTTGGGTGGTAGCGTTATGGGCGACATTTGCTGTCCTTATTCATTCCTCAAATATTTACTGAATATCAGATACTGGCTAGGCTCTGGGGAGGTCAGTGGAACAAGACAGGGTTCCTTCTGTCAGAGCAGGGGCTTATAAAAGAGGAAAAAGCACTGTGCTAGTAAAAGCAACTGCTGCTGGTCTGGGGTAACATGCTGTCCCATGCCTGGTGTCAAGCCTGGTCAGCAGTGCGGACTTCCTCGTCCCTCTGTGGGAATTATCTCTGCTCATCAGTCATGTTCCCATGACTCAAGCCACAAAGTGTGCCCTGGACACTGTCCGCTCTGCCCAGATGCCTTTGGATCCTTTTTACTCTGTGTGCCCATTTGCAAGCTTTGCTACTGGAGCGACTTTGCCCAGGTGCAGGTGCAAAGAGCCAGAAGGGCCTGGAACTTTCTTCCTGCCCCTGCGCCTGCTCCTCCACAGGCCTTAGCCATTGCTTGTTGGATGATGGTGCAGGGGTCTGATAGCCCGGTGAAGGGACAAACTCTGAGGAGTATTTGTGGCTGACCTTCCTTATTCACAGATTCCGTATCTGCGAATTCATCTTGTAACCCCCAATCACTATATGTGGTACTTTTATGGTCATTCGTGGACACATAGTGAGGTGATACTCTACCTTTTGTTTCAACTATCATGGGGTAAACAAGTATGCTTTTGGTGGTCTATTTAGTGCCATGTTTTTCATATTTTGGTGCTTTTTGTTGGTGATTTCACTGTTTAAAATGCTCCCCCAGGCATAAGTGCTGACAGGCCACCTAGTGTCCTTAAGTGCAAGCAGGCTGTGATATGCCCGAAGGAGAAAATACGTTAGAAGCTTCATTCAGGCATGCGCTGCAGTGACGTGAGCTGTGAGTTCAATATGAATGAATCGAAAATACATTAAATAAGGTGGCTTTAAGCAGATACACACATAGAGGTTGTGCATTAATCCAAATTGCCCGAAATGTGACCAGAGCCTTGCAGGAACCTAACCCTGTACTTGCCCTAGGAGCAATGATTTAGTATTCGCTAATTCAGTGTTCATGGTAACTTTGGGGAGAATAGTGAGAATCCACTGTGAGGCATGTGTGTGGCCTTCTAGATTCCTAGAAATAAGTTGGAGCTTTTCAAAGCCCCAGTGGACATCTCATACTTCAGCTTTTTCTTTTAAGCTTTTTGGCTAGCTTATTGTTTGCCCCCAAATGTTACCCATAGCCTCAGCTAGTCATGATGTTAAACTATTTAAATGATAAAACCACCCATGGGGAGAAGCCATTAGGATTGGGCTCGTTTTTTTCCAGTGAGGTGGAATAAATATCAGTCTTTTCAGGCAGTCTTCCAGGGGACCACTAGACAGGTCACATAATGATTTATTTGGGACTGAGGCTTTGAAAGCTCCAGCTCTGTTTTGCTATATGTTTGGTACAGGTACCGGCAATGTGGGCTGTGAGTTTTCAAGGCAGGCATGGAGCTGTGGAGATAGAATGCTACAAAGTTTGATGATCTAAGCTTACTTAGATTCAGCTGTTTTTCTTGACAAGATGCTAAATGAGTTGCTGCAAGACTTTGGTTAATTTCCAGAGCTCTGAAAATGTTGATTCTGCCCATTTTCCCCAGGTTTTCTTTGCTTGTATAGAAGGACAAACTTTCCGAGGTCCTTACTTCAGCTATTTCACTGACATCACCCTTCCTTTCTTTTAAAAATGTGTTGCTTTATTGCAAAACAATATTAAAACCACAATCAAAATAAAAAATTAAATTTTTCATGAAAAAGTAACTTTTCCACACACATTTAAAAAAAAATTCGAGAGAAAAATTGCCGCTCATTCATTTCCATTTGTTCACGGTACTAGCTACTCTTCATCCATACAAAAGATTTTTTACATTTTGTAGTAAAATTATCAGTAGAATTTTATGTTTAAGTTAACGTATCTCGTAAATCCTTTCTCCCCACCTTTCTACCCCTCATCTCCTTTTCACTCTCCTAGTACCTCCTATTACCTACTCCCTACAACCGGTGTTAATGCAAACAGCACAGTGTGTGTCCTTCCTCAGCCATCTTCAGGTTCATTCAAAAATATCCTGCCACATTCACACACAAATAGGATTCTCTTTGCAACCGATATCCGCCATCTCTACACAGCTTTCTTTGTTCACTTAACACATCGTGAATGTGTTAACAGATTTAACACACCTGTTAAATCTAAACAGACAAGAGATTTAACATGATTGTTAAAACTGGCTAGTCCGAACAACAGATCAACCCGTGGTTCCTAGTACCCTACCTCCCCCACAAAAACGCTCGCCTTCATATGTACTGTTCCTTTTACTTCTAGAACATTCTCTGAAGGACTGCTGGGTCAAAGGTCACGCGCACACTGAACATTTTAATGGCTATTCCCGGATGACTGTCCCAAAAGGCCCTAACCATTCACATTTCCATCGGCAACTCTAGAGCTTGTCCCTCCCTAAGTTCCGAACGGCCTTTCGATTGTTGTTCACCCTTCATTCGGCCGGGGTGCGGAGACGCGGACTGGCTTTTTAAACGGATCTATGTATATATATCTACGCCAGTACGTTTAAAACGAGGGCTTCGCTGCCAGCACTGGGGGAGAAAGTGACACTGCAGCCCATCTGGCACTTCGAGGTGCCGGTTTTCGCCGGCGGTGGCCGCAGGGTCGTCGTCCCCCCGGACGTGAGGCGCCGGGTGCAAAGGCCGC